GGTCTGACTCCTAATTTTGCACGATACGAGGGAAGAGTGCTCCATTGGTGCTTATCAGGAAAGAGAAGAAGCAATGCTCCAAGACTCCTAAGCTTCTGCCCTGTGGCCTCCATGCTGCCTGGCTGCTCCTGACCTGGAGGTGGGCCCCCAGTGTGGACGGGCTATGTGCGGTGGACACACAGTGAGTCATGAGGGCCCTGTGGGGTCCACTGAGCCCCCATCAATGGGGCAGGCAGGGAAACCATCCTCAGATCCCCTCTGAAGGGGGACCATGGCGTGGGCACCAGGTTCTTCTGAGATCAGGATCGTGGACTCCCAGAGCTGAGGGCTGAGGGGGCTTCCACAGCAGCCCCCCTCTCTCATGTACACACTCATCCCTCACCCTACTCACACCTGCTCTCCAGAAAGAACCGGAATCCTGCACGCACTCCCAGCCTTCTGCTCTGCTGGGTGAGGCCCAAGTGCAGCTCCACTCCGGGGACAGCTGGGGGAGAAGGGGGGTCCCAGGACACATGGCATCCAGGTAGGACACGGGAGCATCCCAAGGTGGGACTCCAGCTGGAGACCCGAAGCCCAACAGTTTGCCCCAACCCACCTGACCCCATGCCCCAGGCTTGGGGATTCCCATCAAGGAAGTCAGCAAAGCAGCGATTCTGATTAGACTGTTGGGAGTGAGGCCCCGGCAGCTTGCCGGCTTTTTCAAAGCTCCCCAGGTGATTCTACTGGGTACAGGTTTAATGTATTAACTTTCCCAGGGGCATCTGCATTTTAAGTAGCTCAAAGATTGCAGGGATGATAGGCTCATGGTCGAGTTCCAAGGCACAGCACACAGACCAGGACCAGAAGAACTGAGTCTTGGATCCAGCTCTGTCCCTTTCCCTGGTCAAAAGGCTACCTGCCCACACTGTGTGCCTCTCTCCAGCTTGCAAAGGTAGCTGGAGGGGAGGAAAGCGCTCTGGGACTTGGGGGTCCACCTGCCTGAGGCGTCGAAACACCAGGGCATTGTGACTTAGTGGAGGCAGGCTGGTCTGAGACTGCGTCAGCCACGGCCACAAAGCAGCATCTCTCAGGCTGCATATTCACATGGAAGCACACTCCCTGCCCTGGAGGGTCTACTTGATAGAGTGCCACCACTGTCCTCGCCCTTAGCAGGAGCAGCATTTCCACCCCTCCTCTGTGAAGCCCGTATGCCGTGCCTGCTCAGCCTCTGTGAAGCCAACCTGGCCCCGGCAGGAGTCCTGGGGAAAGGCTGTGGCCACTGCCGAGCCAGGGGTTCTCTGGGCACCGGGAGGAAAGTGACCCGAAAAGCCCACTCCAGGAGCAAGCTCAGCCTCCTATCTGCAGCTCTTGAGCTGCTGGGACTCCACCCACTGGGCCAGCAGGACTGACAGCAGGAGCACTGGGCTAGGCATGAATGGTCACTGGCAACTCACTTCCAAGAGTGATCAAAACCAGGAGGGACCCAGGTTCTCCCCACAGTGGTGGAGCTGCGGGGGTGGAAGATCTCCAGTACCCTCTGCACTGTGCTGCCAAGAGTCAGCTTGGTGAGGTCCAGCTGCTATCACTCAGCAGCAGAGACAGCTTCTCATAGGCCACAGCCACCAGAGGCCCTGTGCATGATGGCCTCAAAGCTCATCTGCTCTCCGCTGCAGGATGACAGACATGGATGCAGGAAACCCGAGAAGGCTGTGCTATGCCAGGTCCCCACTTCCTGGCATTTTCACAGGAACAGAGCTGCTACCTCATATCAGCTGCCGGCATGGCCACAGGCCACCTGGGTTCCTTGACCAAGTAGCACACAGAGCTCACATCCCTCAGACCCAGGGGTGGGCAAGAAACAGCCCCCTTGGAACAGCACGAAGGGCCAGTTTTCCCTCTAGAGTTTAGAGGAGACTGTGGCTAAAAATCACAAAAAGAGATAGAGCAGCAGAAATTCAATTTGCCAAAACTGGAAAAATCCAGAAAGAAAATGAAACTGAATAGCTGGATGGAAAGAGATTGTGCAGAACTATCATAAGGAAGAGAAATCAAAGGGGAGGGACACAGGGAAGAGGAAATGTGAGCTTGGAGCCGGTGGAGTGAAACTGGGGAGCCTGGGGGAGCCCCGCAGGCAGAGGTGGGCGAGGCATGGTCAGAGCTGCAGATCCCCACTCTGAACTGGGGGGAGGGCAAGTGGGGTGAGGCTGGACCTACAAGGCCAGCCCGGCTTCCTGGTCCTGCCAAGCTGCGGGTGCGGGGATTTCCCAAACCAGCCACGCAGGAGCCGAAGGCAGAGTGAGGAGGCCACCTAGCGGCAGGGGCCGGAAGGGAGGGGAGGGGCCCAGGACGGCGCCTCCTGGGGGGCTGGGGCAGAAGGCAGACCCGCACCTGTGCTCAGCGCCGAGGCTGGGTGGAGGGCTGCAGCGAGGCAGGAGTGGTTGAGAGCATGGAGGGAGGGAGGGGGGCTAAAAATGATCCCCAGAAAGAAGGGAATCGCCTAGACAAATTGGAAATGGGTCCTGAGGGCGCTGGGAATGTCTGCTCCTGTCTCGCAGAAGCCAGGGTTTGGAACCTCTGACTGGCACAGGGAGGGGCCCAAATTGTCTGGAGGGGTAAAGGCAAAGAGAGGGAGCCATCTGGTGTCTGGAGGTGGAAAGCAGCCGTGTGTGGTGTCTGGGAAGTGGGGAGTGGGCGGGATGGAGGGCCGGTGCGTAGGGACAGAGGCTGCAGCTTCTCAGGTGGCTCGCCCCGCGCCCTTGTTTCTCAGATAAGAGGTACAAAGTGTCGTTGCTTTCCTCCAGGTTTTCCCACCCGAGACAGGGAGAAGTCACTCTGCAGTCAGATGTCAGTAGCAAGTTTTAAGGTGCATCATTACTTTATCCTTACAGGTCCATCCAGTTCCCCCAAGGCCAATCCCCACCAGATTCTCCAAGTGCCCAGGGCTGGTGGGAGATGGAGGCAAGAGAAGAAGCGTCCTTGGTCCCTTGCAGTAGGTGTCTGACAAAACCTCCCCAATAGCCCAGCACAATGCCAAACCTCATCCAGTCCCAACCCTCTGCCAAGAGGGAGCTGACCACTCCTGAGGTGCCCATGCAGAGCTCTGAGCAGTTCAGGATTTGCCCTCATAACACGCCTTGCCCACCCTGCATGTCGAGGAGGTGAACAGCATCGCTGCTCCCAGCACACCCCCTGCCGGTCTGTGCTCAGGGGCTACTGGGTGGCCGTGTGTCCTGTGGGCTTTCTGCGCATGCCTGAGTTTGTAAGGGAGGGTGGAAAGGAACAGGGAAGGAAAGGAACTAAAGCGGGTAGACACCAGGCAGCTCAGGTCACCTGTTAGTCCCAAAGCACTCCTGGGGCACAACGTGCATCTACTGTGCAGGAGAGCACATCAAACAGGCCCTCCCTTCCTCCCCAGAGGGTGGTGGGTCTTTTCTTGAAGCAGAGGCACACCCCCTCAGCAGGACAGCTCTGCTGTCTGCTGGGTGGAGACCCCAGTTCCCTGCTCAGCCGGCCTGGATAAGCTTGCAGGCTGCTGTGCTGCCCAGCCTCTGGGTCGGCCTTCTCTGGAAGATTTTGATTCTTCACAAACTGTAGAACAGAGAAAAGAGACAGGTTAGGTGGGAGAGCAGGAGAGCAACTGACCGCGAGTCTCTCCTAAGATGCACCTCTTCTCTCCCCACCAAAAAACAGCCTGCCTGCCAAGAAAGTGCTGGAAGGTGCCCCTGCTTGACAGCCCAGCTTCTTACTGGCCTCGGCTCTGCCTGGGATGGAGGGGGTCCTAGGGGAGCACTTATCCCTGCAGGGCAGCCGTGGAGACATTCTTCCTCAGGGTCAGTATGCCACTTGCCCTGGTCTGGAGGATTTACTGTGTGAGGGGTGGGGGAGGAACAAGAGGGGAAGCCACGTTCCATAAAAAGAATAAATTTCAGACTTTTAAAACTAGGACTTTTAATTTTTTTTTTCTTTTCCTAAAAGAAGTGAAAGGGATTGGAGATTCAAGGATTGCTAAACTCTACGCACTTTTCTATGATGCTCTTTGACCAGAACCCTGTTCCCCAGGGTCCCCACCCACCCCTTAGTCTGTAGCCCCAGCACCTGGCTGGCCTCTGTCCTTGAGGACTGGCTTACGGATCTCCACTCACTGTGGCAAGGAGCCTGAATTCCACGTCCAGCTCATCCCTGGCCCTGCACTTTGCTCAGATCGATCACGGCGATGTGTGTGTGGTGTGTGTGTGTGTGTGTGTGCACAGCCTTGCCCACTCCTTGCTGCCCCAGGCACAATGGCCTCCTCCCACCACACATGCACTAGCCCAGCCAGCTCCCTGCTCTGTGCCCACCAGGTGGTTTGCCCTGCTGGCCCCTTGGCTCACTCTGGACCTGCTCCTGAGTCTCATCTTCTTTGCAGAGGTTGAACCATGTCAGGCGTTCATGGGAACACAAAGAAGAAGCAGTATTTTCAAGTTTTTCTAAGGCACATAAAGCATTTCAAACAGCAATGCCTAAAGTCTTGGCCTCACATAATTACCCTTGTCCAAGGATGGTAAATTTTCAGAAGAAGGTGCAGGGTCCTCTCCTCCTAGGGGCACCTAGCCTGTAAAATCAAGTCTCTGGGGGAAACAGCAGAGCTGGGGCAGGTTTCCCTCTCAAACATTTGAGAGACTGTTTGTTGATGACTGAAGCTTGGGGCGTGGGGGGGGGTCTAGACTGTCCTTTAAAAACTTATGTTGGTTTTAACTGAAGCACCTACCATTCCAGAGAAAGTAAAGGGGGAAGCACAGAGATGTGCACAAAGCAGGCAGTAATCTATCTTATCCTAGGAAACCTGCCTTTTCCCTGCCGCCCACCTCTTCTTAGTAAAGACCTCCCTCCACACTCCCTATTTTTTTTTTTTTAACTGGAAGCCTTCAGGTAAAAATAAAGCAACAGCAGCAACAGAAAAAAAAAAATGTAGTCTTCTTCAGGGTTAACATCAGAAGACAAGCTTCTGCGGCTTTGGCCAATCAGATGCGCCCCTGCCAGCTATAATATAGTGCGAAAGGCAGCCTGTCTCACAAGCTCCCCAGGCTTGCTACCATTTAAAATCAGACTCTTTTTGTCTTTTGATTGCTGCCTCGAGACCGAGACCCAACTCCGATGTGTTCCGTTATCAGCGACCAGCAGCCTGCCATTGCAGCCCCTGTCTGGGTGGGGATCGGCGGCGAGTCCCCCGCAGCAGCGGCGGGCAAGGTTATATAGAAAGAGAAAGAGCCAGGCAGCGCGCGAGCGAGCGAGCGAGCGAGCGAGCCCAGCGAGACAGGGAGAGCGCAAGGGAGAGCGCACACGCACACACCCGCGCGCACTTGCTCGCGCACAGACCCGCGGGGACAGCTCGGAAGTCACCAGGTTCCATGGACGAGATGCTGCTGCTGGCGAGATGTCTGCTCGTGGTCCTGGTCTCCTCGCTGCTGGTGTGCTCGGGGCTGGCGTGCGGACCCGGCAGGGGATTTGGCAAGAGGCGCCACCCCAAAAAGCTGACCCCTTTAGCCTACAAGCAGTTTATTCCCAATGTGGCCGAGAAGACCCTGGGGGCCAGCGGCAGATATGAAGGGAAGATCTCCAGAAACTCTGAGCGATTTAAGGAACTCACCCCCAATTACAACCCCGACATCATATTTAAGGATGAAGAAAACACGGGAGCAGACAGGCTGATGACTCAGGTAGAAACCCTGCGCGGGGCGTGGAGCGTGTTCCTTGAGGGGGCTGCCTGCGACCAAACAGTCCACACTTTCTGTTTGCTCTTTGGGCGGATAGACGGGAGACTGTTTGGCCCTCTCCTTCCCCACCCACCTGCCCACCTAGCAGGACTCCTCTTCCTAGAGGAGAATGGAAGCTTAGAGTCCATCAAAGAAGTTTAGGGTGTGGGTGGGGTGAGAACCGAAGGGGATGTGGTCCATTTGGGCCCTGATTTGATTAGTCTTGCTGGGACAGCCTCCCCTCTCCTTCCTCTACTCCGGCTTGTAACTTGGGAGACCTTGACTTTAGAGGGGCATCTGCCCTTTCCAAGTCCAGGGTGGAAATGGAGGAAAGCTGGGGGAACGCGCCCATACTCATAAGTGACCTCCAGGTCACTGTACAAAGGTAGCCTTGCGTATTAGAGCCCAGAGCTTACACGTTTTCCTTCTCTGTGGTTTTCTTTTTTCAAGACTGTCCTCACCCTTTATCCCCACCACCAGTGCCAGAGAATCCTAACTGGAAAAGCCAGGGGCTATCTGACAAAAGCCAGGGGCTGCAGAAGCTCCCTGCTAGCCTCCGCTGCATCGCACTGCCACTCTGTCCTCCCCACTTGTGCCCACCAGATGTATTGATATTTCTGTCGGGATGCTCTTCATTCCGGAGCTGGGGTACCTGGGGGGGGGGTACTGAAAACTTATTGGCATTGCATCACTTGAGTTTTCAACCTGCTTGCATAAGAATTAAGAGGGAATTAATATTAGTGAGGGGTAGCGGGTGGGAGGAGAGGCAAAGCAAAACATGAATTCCTCTCTCCATTCCCACCTCCTTGGAGACTTCTGGGCTGCCAATCTCCCAGCCAATTCTAGACTTTCTGAAACTCCATGCACGTATGACTGAAGCTAGAAATGGGTTTTCTTGCAAATATAGGTCAACATCCTTTTTATTGCCCTATTAAAATATTCAAGTCCTACCTTTAGGGCTAGGTGCGCACAGTGGCTGACGGAGCGGCGCTGGTGGGGCGCAAATGCAGGGGGAGGTGCAGGCGGGAGGGAAAGAGGAGCTTCCTCAGAGCCGCGCTGTTAGCCACGGGCTCCCAGGTGAGGAGGTGGAAAGAAGACCGCAGCCGGGTCTCGGTTTAGAGCCGGCAAACGGTAGGAGCGGGGACGAAGTGAGGAGACTCCCTCACTCCCTCATCTGCTGCCGACCACTTTAAATCTGGACCTCGAGTGTGTACGCGCGCGCCTGTGCCCAAGAGCAGCGCGAGCCACGGTTAGCTGCACGGGCCCGGGGTGCCGGGTGCGTGCCGCCAGCTGAGGGAATTCTCCTGCTAGCCCGTCACCCTCACTCCCCGAGGAGGACGGGCGGCCTCCAGGTCCTCAGAATCCGAAACGAAGGAGGCAATGGAAAAGAAAGCCTCAGGGGCCGGGACCTTAGGTCCCCCGGCTGAGCGAGTCGCGTTCATCCTGGTCAGCCCGAGGCGGACGCCAGAGAGAGGGTCCTTGGCCCGCGCCCCTGCCCAGGGGCCTGGGCCTCGTCGACTGCTGCAGAGCGGCGAACGCGCGGAGCCGCGCACCGGAGCAGACGCATTTCAGCTCCACTTACTCCGGGGTGATCGATCTCGAGGCTACGGTTTCCGCGCGCGCGGGGCTGGGCGCAGGCAGCCGGTCCCGGCCGC